TATGGCGCGCCATCTGTAGCAAAATCCCTTTCGATGACATAAAACGAAACGTAACGAAATTCATAAAATGTAACGAAATACAACGAAATGAAATACAAATGCCATGAAACAAGATACCAATACCATGAAATCCAATCATCGAAATATGCCCGTTGCCATGGCTATATAAGGTAAGATGATCTTTTCGAAATGTATTTGTCTGGTTTTCTTTTCTCCCCTACCCTACCCTGTGTGGGAGTTAGTGGGTCATTGTCGTTCCCAGATCTCTCAAGTCCGGGGATTTTTACTGAGACTATTGTGTTCTTCCTTTATCTCTCCGGTGTTTTTTCATTGTTCGCTTTCATTTTAATTTATATTGTAGTCTGGGGAATCGTTTTTGGTACTTTTCACTTTAATTATTAGCTTTTAGTTTGATTTTGTCGTGTTTTTATCTTTGCTAGATAGATTTGTTTCGCTGCCGCTGCATCATGTATGGTTTCGCACGCGAGCTGTTCCTTCACTCTGTTGACGATGAATTCATCTGCAGTATATGGTAGGTATATACAGAGGATCATACTTCATAGTTTATTTTCCATTGCATTTACACCAGTTTAGTTTATTAGTTAAAGTGGTTTTTAACGTCGGTTTTGCCACTAGGTGTGCTCGATTAAACACTGGTTCTTTGTGTCGTGTACTAGTCACGCCGCAACGATTCATCCTCCTCAGATAATAAAAACAACTACTCAAAGATGGGGTGATATGGCGACAGCGACAGAGAAAAACCCAAATACAATAGTAGAATACCGACTGTGAAATACAAATACTTGTATTCTGGGTAGAATGTATTTGACTGTGAAATATATCTTTAAGTACTTGAGAGGGTTCAATTTATATATTTCGTTTAACATTTTGACACATGTGCCTTAATATATTCATTGTTCAGCCATGGAGTTTTCAAGCAGCCCATGACCTGCCAAGATGGCCATTCATTTTGCAAAGACTGCATTACACAGTGGCAGCGAGTCAACACCCATTGCCCTGTGGACAGGTCCACTCTTGATCGACCGTTGGTTAGAAATCTCGCTGTGGAAGGTTCTATTGGTCGAAAGCTGATGAAATGCTCATCAACAGTCTCTCTTCCAGGAGGATGCAGCTGGACAGGCTTAGCATCTGCTGTAGAGCAACATCTCCCTGCCTGCGATATGAATGTTGTGGAATGCAAATTTAAAGTCAGGGGCTGTATTTTTTCGGGCATATCAGCGTGAGATTGCTCAGCACCTCCTTGTTTGCCCCCCATAGGACAGTTAGTTGCCTGTCCTGTGCTCGAGACATCCCACACAGTGATCTGTCAGCCCATGATGAAGAGTGCATTGGCAAACTTGTATCTTGTCCAAATGACTGTGGCGTTGAAGTTGCGAGGTACATTTGCATTGTTCATTCATTGTTTACGGATAAGGTAACCCTGTATATCATAAGTTAAGGGTGACGTGAAATAGTTTGTGGTTGTTGGCCCCAGAAGAGATTACAAAAAGTAGTAATTAGTACCAGTGCCTGCTTGCTGCACAGGCTAGTACCCCTCCCTCTTTCTTAATGTATTGAAAGAAGTATTTTTCATGTCTGATCAAGAACTAGAATATTCATTACAAATTTCTAGAAACAATGTGCTTTTTGTTGTGATTCTCAACTAGGTGCAAGATGTTGTCACACTTGGCATTTTCATGTAACAAGGAGGGCCGGCCATGTCCACTGTACACTGTAGGATGCACAAAGGTTCACTCTTTAGCAGAGTCAGATCCTGGAGAACATGTTAAATTGCTGCTAACTGCTCGTCTATCAGGAGCATACGCTGTAAGTAACTTTTTTTCTATAGTTAAATGTGAAGTTTAATACTAACTCTTGAAGCATGTTCTTTCTTCTAGAATATACTTACAAATCTCAAGAATTGCCATACTATAACTATTTCTTATTTTTAGATGTTGTATAGTCTTTGGGTGTGTGTAATGTAGTTTGTTATATTTATATTTATTTTTATTATTTTATTGTTAAGAAGAGAGTTTTTGGAGTTTCCATTCACTCCAATTATCTAGGTATTTAGTCATTCATCTATTTCATTCTTTAAAGTTTATTTTCCTTTTTTTCTAATGCATGTTGTGCACCTTTTTTGTCTTTTTAGGCTTCTGATGCAGGCTTAAATGGTATTTCCTTTGGTGGGTCATGGAAAATAGAAGGCGATGTGGTATTGCCCATTTGTAGCCCATTGTTTGAAGGTCATGCTGCTGTGGTCAGAATGGAAATTTTAAAAGAGAGTGGTATTTCCTTCAAGTTTCAGCTGGAGTCAAAGTTGCAGCTGCCCAGTTTTATGGCGTTCATTACTGCTCAAAACACTTTGAGCACATTTTTGACTTTCTGACACCTTTTTCACGTCCAGGGGGTCAAATTCCCCAGTCACGTATCACGTCGTAAAATTTACGACGTAAACCTTGTACTCGCATCGTTACGTCGTAAAATATACCAACGTCTATTTTACGGCGAGAAATCTATTATCCTTCAGTGTACTTTGAAGGTCGTCCCGTCCTTATTAAAAGTCTTCAAATATATCACGACGTGATTATATTTAGCATGAGACGTTACGGCGTAAAAATTACGACGTAAACGAGGAGGTTCGCGTTACGACGTAAAATAAATTTTAGCTACACGTTACGTCGTGGATATTTACTATGGCGTTCATTACTGCTCAAAACACTTTGAGCACATTTTTGACTTTCTGACACCTTTTTCACGTCCAGGGGGTCAAATTCCCCAGTCACGTATCACGTCGTAAAATTTACGACGTAAACCTTGCCGACTCGCATCGTTACGTCGTAAAATATACCAACGTCTATTTTACGGCGAGAAATCTATTATCCTTCAGTGTACTTTGAAGGTCGTCCCGTCCTTATTAAAAGTCTTCAAATATATTACGACGTGATTATATTTAGCATGACACGTTACGACGTAAAAATTACGACGTAAACGAGGAGGTTCGCGTTACGACGTAAAATAAATTTTAGCTACATGTTACGTCGTGGATATTTACGGCGTAAAAGCAAGGTACGTTGTAATAAATCCATTCGTCAAGTTGTCAATCAAATAGGTTTTACGTCGTAACTTTTACGGCGTAAAATTTATCTGCTTCTTAAGTTGTCAATCAAATATAATTTTACGACGTAAAGTTAATATAGTTAAAGTTGTCAATCAAATAGGTTTTACGTCGTAACTTTTACGACGTAAAATTTATCTGCTTCTTAAGTTGTCAATCAAATATAATTTTACGACGTAAAGTTAATATAGTTAAGTTGTCAATCAAAAAAGGTTCGCAATGTTTAATAAGTTAACTTCAAAGTCTTAATAGATGACCATCTACAATGTTTAATAAGTTAACTTCAAAGTCTTAATAGATGACCATCTACAATGTTTAATAAGTTAACTTCAAAGTCTTAATAGATTACCATTTACAATGTTTAATAAGTTAACTTCAAAGTCTTAATAGATGATCATTTACAATGTTTAATAAGTTAACTTCAAAGTCTTAATAGATTAACGTTACTTCAAAGTCTTAATAGGTTACCATTTACAATGTTAATTAAGTAATTTTCAAGTCTTAATACATTACTTAATTGATTTTACACTTGTCAAAATTAAATGAATTAACTATAAAGTCTCAATCGGTTATCAACGCTATGAGTCATGCAAAGAGTTAATATTGGTCAAACGTATATAAGAAGATGTGTATTTCCACCTCTGTCCCATATTTATTACTAAAAGAACGCAAGCGCTGGTTTTCCGATTAATAGCTTGTCAATTTCATTGAAATAAATAGTTATTCGAAATTCAAACAATTCCAACAAAGATCCAATTATAATGATCTATTTTTACTTAATGAAAGCTCTCCCCCTTCTGGCAACCTCTTGTAACTTTACGCCATAAAAAAAAAAATAAACACCCAACCAACAAACAAGTATAACTAACCGAAGAGTGATACAAGACAAGTTATGTATTTTAAGTATGGATTTATTAAAATCCTCGATGAATCGACTGAGAAGAGAAACTTGCACACGCACACACTTATATATCTCCAAAGATCACCCGTCCCCCCACTTCCCCACTTACAATTACACACATTACGCTTAAATGAGACCAAGAGTTGATTTATTGTTGTAAAAAGACCTTTGTGTAATATTTACTTTCACTGGAAATATTTTTTTTTTACTTAAGACAAAAAGGAAGAAAACAGCTGGGGCTTAACAAAACCAAATCGTTGAAATCTTATTAAAAACAGCTGGAGCTTAACAAAACCAAATCGTTGACATCTTATTAAACTATTAACTAGAGGTGCAAAATATTTACAAAAGTTTGCGCAATCGTATACTTATATACTTGGCAAACTTGGCAAAACTTCTTCAAGGAAAGGTTCCCTTTTAAACAAATATATAGAGTTAGCCAAAATTTAGTGGTATAAACTCTTTTTGACTACAGTAGTCCCCATTTTACCTCAGGGATAGCAGAGCCGGTGGCGAAACGCGAGCGTGAACTCTAATATCCATGAGGAAAAATGGGGACTACTCGTAATCTAAAACTATTTGCAAAATCCTAAAGATGTTCACATTGTTTCGAACACACATACTTTGGAAAGACACATTCCAAGGCTCAGAGTACAGGTCAAATTTTTTCTTCATACTGGAAAAATTCGTTGGACTCAGTTGCCTTTGCCCATATGAGTGTATTTACTTTGTCTTAAATTTGAATATGTCCTACAAAAGAATCTAGACTAATTGTCATCATTTGTTTCAAGTTTTTTTTACGCAGAATGCTTAGTTAAAAAATAATATATTATATATACAACGCAAATGGTCGATGTTTTTTTTGGTAGACTCATGGAACTGAAAGCAATACAATTGCGACTTTCTGCAATTTGTTTTAGTGATCACTCATTCACAGGCATTAGAAGAAGGAACGTAGGTGTCTTATCCGATATATGTTATTGATAATAACCCCTCGCTTTCTTCACCGTTTATTTTGTCAATGGACACTCCTTGTATTTTATAGCCGATGTCCAGTTTATCCTAGTATCGGTTTAGTAAAATAAATGTATGTGAATGAGTGTTCTTAAAACGTTCTTTGATATTGATAAATATTTACAATCCAAGGAGAAGAAAGATTTACTCATTATTTAACATTCATATATAAGCTTAAGGGTCCTGGGAGCAGGAGAGGCCCCGTGAGCGAAAGTACTGCCAGGCCTATCCCATTCCCAGGAGACTGGTATTAAAATACAACATGCTTTTTTTAATTTTGTTTCCGTACTTAAAGAGAACAACTACACCACAGACAATAAATAGCCACAGACACAGGGGAACCAGGGCCATAGCCTAGAAAAAAATAGCTGTTCACAGTCCTTTGCACGAGCTTTAGCTAAGACAGGTTGTACAAATGAGAGTAAAACAATGTTTTGGAAAATTAGAAGTTTTGCACTGTGAGTCCAACAACGAAAATTGGTTCACAGAGGACTCCAAAAGGAAAACCGATAAATCTGGCTATGGGCCTGATTCGTCCTGCATCTCTATTATAAGAACCGTGTAATTGTTCAATGAAAGGTCTACCAAAGAAGAACCGTCATTATGTATGGGTGGCCCTTGGTGTCTGTGGATTACGAAGTCTTGGCTGGGCAGAGACAGTAGAGCAAACGCCGCCCTGAAAAGCACCTGAATCAGAAATAAAACAAATGATGACGTCAGTGTATATGCTTGCCAGGTTTGAAGCCAGGCTGCCAAGCATATTTCATCCCTTCGTTTTGAAGGCTGTACCAGGCTGTACAAGACTGAGGCGCGCTCCGATCCATTATTACTCAAGGTAAGTTCTGTAAGAATAGTTTTTAGATGAATCGGCGATCAGGGGGCTTTGTATTAACGAGTGAAACGCTTATATTTTCAAAATAATTTATAATTTTTCATCCGTTTGGAAGTCTTTTTTTAAATTAGCCTTTATGGAAATTAAGAGATAACGTAAGCTGTAACTCAAAGCCAACATGACTTCTTTGTCTCCCTCAAACATTATCCCGTTTTAGAGTAAATTGTGCGATATTCCGTGGTGGTCCTGGTGTTCAGCGCCCGCTCAGGAATTTAAGCCGTAGTTAAGTTTCGCGTCTAAATGGTAATTAGCCATGGATAACAACTACAGGTAATTCATTTTCAAACACTTGAACTCCCTCCCAGATGCTTTACTTTAGAATTAACCTTGTATTTGTTGTTTTCCCAATAGATGTCGTAGGGAAGTTTATCTTTTCAAAAAGCGCGTGCATTTGCACGTAGATAAGATGATACAAAAATACTTTAAAACTCTCCAGCTGAACCAACTTGGAATTTAGCGTATATACTGTTAACCCCTTAAACCCTCGTGATATTAAAATCGAGATTCTCATTTACTGTCCCCATACAATCTAATAGAAGTAGTGGGGAGAATTTGTTGAAATATCAATTAGACTCCTCTTCCCTGATCACGTACTCAATTCTCATGACCACTATGTCTTCTAAAGCATCGATATTATAAGGAGAAATTTAAGGATGATCTATCTTAGGGCTTAAAGGGTTAATCATGTGGTTTCTGTACAAGGTAGTGTATAAAAGGTATCAGTCAAAATACAACGGCAATTTTCTTATAACATGCACGTAGGTTATTTCATGGGCGATGAATTCTGAGAATTGTCACCTACTGTACTATAGCATCATTTAAGTCGATGCTGTTTTATTGGTGCTTGTAAATATGGAAAGATTTTACTTACGTTACTGTTCTCAGATGCCCTTGGGCTTGAAACGCATACAGAATGGTCGTTCTGACTTCTTGGGACGTCATCCCGGTCCTGAATGCGACGCGAGCCGGCGCGCGTCGCGGATCGTACCTCTGGCCCTTCCACGTGGTACGTCATCTTCTGTTGGGTCGCCTAGGAGAATCACCACCCTGGAAAACTGTGCTCCTACGCTTGTGTAAGGACGCGATCGGTTTCGGCCTCTTCCTCGTGACGCTCCTCCTCTTGCACTAAAGAGCGGCCCGATATTTCTTATCGATGGAGGAGTTTGTAAGGTAGATCCGGTAGCCGCCGTGGTAGTAACCGAGGGGGTTGACGGATTTCCTGAAGCTGTTGAAGGCGTCGAAGCCCTAAACAGCCGATCAACCTCCCTGCTGACGTTCGGTTGGTTTAAGAGATTCAACAGTGCACGTAATCCCTGTACTGCGTTCGGATCCATCTTCGACGCGAATGAGTCCTTGCGTTACAATCATGTGGGTTTT